CTGAGGCAGAGCTGGAGCACTTGCACTGCAGTGAGGAGTGATTACAATTCCAGTGACTTCTCTTTGCACATCTCTCTTCAGATTACTGACCATGCGATGGCAGCTGAAAGGGGATCTGTCCATTACCTCTTCTCTGCAACTCACCACTGGAGGCTGAGCTCCTCAGGAGCTCGTTTACCTTTCTTCTCCTGGCTGCAACTGTATCATGAATTAGATCACCCAAATTACAGACCTTTCTCTATTTATTGTGTAAACAAGTTTGCAATATACACAGAAGAAAATCTTCTATTCTGCATGGACTTTATGCTGTCTAAAATTAGCTTGTTTGAGACAAAAAGAGCCTCCCTGGGAGGGCTGCAGTGCTGGGAACCTCTGCCCTGTGTTGAATAAAAGCAGAGACATGGGCTCTGTGCCTCTTGCAGGAGGGTAGCTGCCAGGGGATGGATGGGCAGCAGGCCATTCCAGCATGGCAAAATTACATCCTCAACTGACCTGGGAAAATTGAGCCTCATTGCATTGTGGTAGATAAGAAATAGAAAATAAAACATGAGGATAAAATATCAAACATACCTTTTACTCACCAGGGCCTTGAAAACACAGTGTGTTGAATAGCTGTTTATATGAAACTTTGGCTGCCTAATCCCTTTGGAAAAGCTGGTTTCAATGCAATTGCCTTAGCACCCGCAACCTATTTTTAAAGGGACTTTCACACACAGAGCAGGATTTTGCAGTGGGCCCCCAGGGCTCTGTGTCCCATCACATTTACAAACCAGTGTAGGAGGACAGAGATGGGCTCCCAGAGGCTGTGCTTGCCTTTTCCCACTGGGTCTCAGTAGGGATTGCTAAACTGGCCCTCCCAAAGCCACAGGCTGCTTTTAGTAATGTCATGTAGTTTTTTTGAAGACGTGATTTAAACTCCTGTGCCTCTTTTGTGTTTTTATTCATCTTTATTCCATCCCTCAAACCATTTACCTGCCTTCTGCTGCCCTGACCCCAGCTCTTCAGCCCTCTGGTGCCAGGTTCTCTAAGGAGTTCACCCCTTATTTACACCTCCCCCCAAAAAAGTAAGGTTTTAGGATATATTTTACTATATTCCTTTTTTTTTTTAAATTATTTTTTATTTTTTCCTATTGAAAACCTGAGCCTCACCCTGTGCAATGAGGCTTATCTGAGCAGCTTCTGCTCAGGTTTTGGTGTCCCTGGAAGAGCCTGGTGACCTGACCCGTCACTCCAGTGAGCCCTCCCCAGGGTGAGCACATTATTCCCATGGCTGCTTTCAGCTGATCTTCAACCTACCCAGATGGGGCCTGCTGAGATCTTTGTAAGAATCACTTGTTCCAGTGATCATAAAGTCCTTTGAGTTCAATCTGGGACTCACCTTGTGAGTTTCACCAAGAAATGTGTTGCCACTGGGAGACACCCCCTTAGTCACTGAAGGAGTAGGGAGCAGGGGGGTGTCCCTTGTCCAAGCAGCTTTAAATGACAGTGCAGACAGGGGGGGTGATACCCTTCTAAAGAAGAGACCTTTGCATCTCCAGGGGAGCCAAGCAATGTGTGACACTAGTTAAAGAACACAGCCTCTCCGGCTCTAAAGTAAACCAGCTTTTTTGGAGGAGAAAGATCCAAATCAGCCTTAACTCAGTGAGGGAATTCAAAGGGGAGAGAAGCTGTAGAAACTGATGTGTGGTACCAGAAAGAACTGTCATGTACATAGGAAGGTCGAGCCCCTGCTAGGTGGTACCTGCAGGTACCAGGTTGCAGGCTGAAGGGTGAGTGCCTGCTTCAATCTAATCTTCCTTCAAGTGAAACAAAATGTGGGCTTTCTTTCATTTCTTCACGTGTACCTTTTATAAACATGTGAAACTCTGTTGCCTGGTTTGGAAGTTGTGAGTAAATACTGTTATTTGCATTTTACCTTAAGCTGGCTTCAGCTAACAGCAATTTCAAAGTAGCTGGATAACAACGGGTAGCACTCCACAGAGGGGTGTGGTGAAGCCATAAATCTTCAAGATCTGCAGCTCCCCAGCATGTCCTCCAAATATCCAGATAGTAGCAGAATGGTTTATCCTTCCTGCCCCTCATCCCTCTCCCCCACCACCATGGGGCCAGCTGGGGTGCAGCTAACCCCATTAAAAGGGGCAAGAGGTGTCTTTGCCAGGGTTTGGGAAGGCTTTGTGGCAGTACTTGGGGTGGAAGGCTGATGGTTCCTCAAGGCAAAGGGTTGAGGTGCGTGGAAGGAGGTCCTCATTGCTGCAAGTGCTCCACTGGTAGCAGTGCAGTTGGCTGCTGGATGTGGTGGAGCTGCATTGGTCTGTGAAGGGCGTTGAGTCCTCCACAGCATTTGAGTTAGTGCTTTGGGATCGCTCTCCTCATGCTTCCGGGAAACGCCACCAAATCCTCCCCATGCTCTGGGGCTAGTGACTCACTTTGCCAGGCCACAAGCTCTCTTCTCAGTCCTCACAAGTTGCCTCCTGGGCTGTTTTCTTCAGGAAAGAGAAGACATTAGCTCCCTATTTATCCAGTCTTTGTACCTCAGAGGATCCTGTGACAAAGGGCAGGACCCCTAAAGGTCATCTACTCTCTTCTCTTTCCAGCAGTGCTCTCCAACAGGCATGTTGTGATGATGTTAATGCACAGAGAGACCCAGTTCCCTTCTGTCTTGGTCCATCTGAGGTGCACAAGACATTAGGGGAGGCAGCAGCCTCCTACTCCATACCAGCTCTTTGAGAGCAATGTTTTGTCATAATATTTTTTATGTTATGGCTCTTTGTGTATGATGGGAGCGTGTGTATGCATGTCTGTATTTGTGTATGTTTGGCACTGGGGGAAATGCACACTATTGTATTTTCATGTGAGATTAAGTGAGTGGGCATTTAGCATTATGCTTTCCAGAAATTGCCTTAATTGAAAAGCAGCCCCAGCCCTGTGCTGTTTCTGTCTGTCCCTTCCAGATGCTTGTGTCAACTCCACTAGAGATCCGTGAGAGTGAGATCCCAGGTGCCACCAGTGTCACTGCTGAGCTGTGCAGTGGAACCACTGTATTCAGGCTGATGTCACCAAGTTGTTTCCCAGACAGCATTCCCCATGGTGAAAATCTAAAGTCAGGCAAAAAGGGCTGAGGAATCCAATCAGATTATTTTTATGGTTACAGTCTTGTCTGAACAAATGTTTTCTCGTTGCCTTAATGGTTAGTCTGGCTTCAGTGATACAAATATTTACCAGTTTATAATAAACAGCTGGATCTACAGCCTACATAGTAATATTATTTTAAAGATGAAAGTAAGTGGGATAAAAAAAGTCAACAGTTAAAGATTAAATTACTGCTCTGACTTTGAATGGGGTTCTGCTCATGTTTACATCCAGTCCAGGTAACCCCAGGGAGAGCTACTGACTCATATTGGGGGTGATTGCAAGCAGGGTCTGGGCATCTATGTGCAGTACAAGTATATTGATGTATGCTTTTCTTTAACCCTCCCTCTAGGTTTGTTCCTTATTATGTTTTCTGTCATCTCTATGGAATTCTTTGGCTTGGAAGCAGTGGAGTCTGGATACCTGATGTCATATTTTGGTGTCCTTCAAATGGTAAGTGAAGTGGAAGTTCCTCTCTTGCCACATTGCTTATCTAATTTGCTACCTTCATGACACATGCACTCCCAAATCCAGGCATAACACTGATGGGTAAATCCTAGCTCTGCCTCGTGTCAGTAGGCTTCAAAAATAGACATGACTCCAAATTTGTTCTGTTTCGTAGAATGGGAAGAAATCAGGGCAAGGAGTATTTTGAAAGCTGTGTTCCTCTTGTCGCCCTGCCTCTTTAAGCTGCTGAAAGGAGGTAAAATTTCTTTGGACTGACATGTTGCCCTAATTTTTGTAACAAAACTTAACATTGAAGCTGATGACCTTGACTAAAGTTTTCACTGCTGCAAGCTGGCTGATTTACATTTACTTAGTAGCAACCTGTAAATGTATGTAAGTAATGGTCCTACTGGCATTTTCACAGATGCATTCAGTGTCAAGAAAGGACTCATCTTCCACTTGAGTAGAAACAAGCACAGCAGGCTTGTACTGTCAAAGAAATAAAAGTTAAAGATGGGCAATGGTATGTGATCAGGAGACTTGCAAAATAGGTAAAAGGGAAAAATCAGCTGAAATAGGCAGTAGTGGGGCAAAAAGAGTAGGATGCTTTATTGTAGCAGAATTTTGCTTTTGGAGAAAGAGGCTAATAATTTTGCAGAAAGAGCAACAGATGGTTATAAGCAAGCCTGAAGGTAGCAATACAAGTTAAGCAATATCCTGAAGCAGTGTGGTCCTGTTATTAAATCCCCCTTCATTTCCTGGGCATTGCCACAGAGTTCCTGTGGAATCTGGAGGAGCTTCTCATCTGGAAAATGGCAGCTTTAGTTCCTTCCCTTGTGATTTGGATTTGGTATATTATCAGTCACTTGGGCTCTGCCTTGGTCTCACTAAATCTAGGCACCTTAGTTGGGCAGCTGATGAGCATGAATGTACATCAGCAAGTGGAGTCTGCAGAATGAACTGGCTGGAGGTGAGGAGCCTTAGCCATGTCCGTTCTGGGAGGTGGCTTTGGACTGGCTGCCACTCAGTCCCATGAGCTCAACATATGCTACCAGGTGGATGCACCTTCCCATCCAGTCTCATCTGAAGGAAAACCAGCTTTTCTCCACAGCATGGAAACAGCATGACAAGCTTTCCAAAGCATGCTTCTGATCCAAACTCCACTGCTAACACAGGCTTTTCCTACATTAGTCTTTGTGTGCTGCCTCCCAAACCAGGATTTGCAGGAATCACTCAGGCTTTGAAGGTGCTGAGTCACTTGTCCTCTTTGAATTTAGAGGGGCTCCCCAGCAACTGTGCTTTTAAATTAGATGTATCAGTTAAATCCCTGTTATATACATTTACACTGAAATAAAATTTGGGGTTGCAGCGTGACTATGATGTGCTTGTTTCAAGCCAGGTAACGTTGGCAGCAAGAGCACTTGCACAGCTGCATCAGGAATGGCTTCATGTTGCTAGATGGAGCTTGGATGCTGCTGTTAGATCTGGGCTATTTCTCTTCAAGATACTGCTGTTATTTCTGGAATATCTGTCTGTCTTCACTGCTATCATTTTCCGAGTTAGTTTGGTTGAAACTACTGTAACTACTGCAGATTACCTTCACTGCCATGCTGGTGCACCCTACAGATACAACCCTGGAAGATATGGGAATTACAGGATTCACTCTTCTTCCTAATGAATAATCAGATGTCAGTGCTAACCAAGGACCTGACAGTTCTCATAGTCACAGGGTTTCATCCCACAGAGTCCAACCATACCTATTATCATATTTTAACCCAGCAGTGGCCTACAGGCTCAGGTGCAGCATCTCCTTTGCTGGGGAGTCTTTGCCTCAGGACATTTGGCATAGAAACTAGCTTTTGTCAGCCAGGCAGTTTTCTTTCATCTATCTGTGCAGTTTCTATCTGTGTTGCTATGCACATTCTACACCACATGACTCTGGACATCGAAATAATGGAGAGAAGTGGTCATAGTGTGCAAACTTCTCTTCTTCATGTTAGTGCATTGGGGTTTACTGTCAAAATGTTAAAGAGGAAAATGGAAAAATGCCTTCTTTTCTTTTCTTTTCTTTTCTTTTCTTTTCTTTTCTTTTCTTTTCTTTTCTTTTCTTTTCTTTTCTTTTCTTTTCTTTTCTTTTCTTTTCTTTTCTTTTTTTCTCTCTTTTCTCTTTTCTTTTCCTTTTCTCTTTTCTCTTTTCTTTTCCCTTTCCTTTCCCCTTTCCTTTCCTTTCCTTTCC